TTGTGTATGTTGTATTGTATATAGATATAGGCCAACATGTATAGATAGTGAAATCGAAGCATAACGAGTGAAGCTTTTTTGGCAACCAGTCAAATTGCACAATCTACGAACGGAATTATTCGGCATGCATGAAATTTTAATCTAGCATAAAAAATATCATTCTACAGGCCGTAAGACCAAATTTGATTTTCGATCTGTAGGCTGGGAAAAATATTCAGTTATAAAATTGTGCAGAACAGTGAAAAAAGAAAAAATATTTGCGCGTGCATATATGCAGAACTGTAAAAAAAGAAAAATAAGAAAAAAAAACATTTGCGCGTGCATATATTGCAATAATAAATAAATTATGTATTATATTTTATAATATACAGAATAGAAAAAAAGAGAAATAAGAAAAATGAGAAAGACTGCAGCCTCTCAGTAGGAAATCGACATTCCGTCTAGTTTTGTAGGTAAGTGTACTATACTGAAACGTCCTGTTTATTTTGTTCATAACACCGACGTTTACTTAGGCGTACAGTGTAATGTTCAATTTTGAATATTCCGTACATTGACTTACAAATAAATGGACGACGGGTCTAATACAAAAACCACGAAAAAAAAATGTCCCAAGTCAACCTATTCGAAATTTAAATTGTAATGGCATCGCAGTATCGCGCTGTCAGTCGAACAAATGAAGACTAAAGCGGAGTTTGGCGCTCTGTATACGATTTTAGCGCCTTACAAGTGAGGACACTTTTTAGCGCGGACCCGACGTCCATATAATTGTAAGTCAATGATTCATAATATGTTGACGTTTCTTGTATTTACCTTTTCAATAATTTCTTTCTGTTCTAAACAATTTTGTGGCATTTTATTAAATGGAATTGGCAGAAAGTACTTGAAAGCCCCTTTAGTTTATGGAGAGGCGTTGGCTTTCTGTGTGTGTGTTTTTAATGTCTTTATTACGCGAACCGTTCAGGGGAACTTTTTGAACAGGTGCCACCGTCACGATTCCACAAAAACAATTCACGCCAAAGGTGTACGAGGAAAGTATGAAAGTTAATCTCTTTCGACTGTTTCTAAATTAAAAAATGATTGTGGTCACTATCGTGACGTTCCCTGTTTATTTTGTTATTCAAAATTAGTGACACTCTTTTGTTTATTACAACATGTGGGAAGAAAAAGGCAAAATGTTTAAAAATGAACAACTATCGTATCTCGTATCTTAAAGCACAAATCGAGTTCTTAGGTTTTCGCGATTGTTACACATAGGAAATGAAACTATTTCTTCCGGATTTAAATCGCGTATATTTGTTTTTTCAAACAAACTGACGTTTCGGGCCTTTTACTGGTTTCATGGTCACGCTTGACTAACCATCAACCGTGACCATGGGACCTGTAAAGGGACCGAAACGTCGGTGTGTTTCAAAAAAGAAATATACGCGATTTAAATCCGGAAGAAATAGTTTCATTTCTTAAAGCACAAAGTTACTGAAATGCAAAAAATACAAATTTTGCAGGCTGATTTCACGTCACATTTTCTTCATAGTTACCCACTGGCTTTTTTAATGTAATACATCAAAATTAACAGCCTTGATAAGAAATTTAAAATAAGTAGAAAGTTTTGCCATCTCCTGAATATAATTGTTTTTTTACTGTCGCCATGAGAGAGCTAAGTTCTATACAATTCTTTTGCGTAGTTACAATTAGCAACTTATTTTATTAATATTTAGAATATATGTTATTATAATCATATTACTTATGTGTAAATTAATGAAACATTAAAGTAAATTCATTCCTTTTGTACATTAAACAAAATAAACAGTATTTCATTTATTCACTTCATTTAAGAACGCAAAAACATACAATAACCAAAATATAAAAATAATTTAGTTATGAACCATACAGTTATAAAATATACTTAAATTTAGCATTCATTAGTAGCAGTAGAGCTCCTTGTGAAAGAGTTCGTCTAGGGTTGTAATGCCACCTTACCTATTTCTGCCGCCAAGCAGTTATAATTGCGTTCCGGTCTTGAAGGGTAAGGGTGCTGGTGAAATTACAGGCACATGGGACTTATCAACTTATGTCTCAGGGTGACACAGATTTGCAGTGCCACTCAGATCTTTGCGATTTAAAGCTCTGAGTGGCACTGCAATTGTTACAAGCGCATGACTTGTTCGTCTCGTCACTTGATATTATTTGAAAAAAAAAATCGTTTTTATATATTCTAACACAAAGCCCTCAAAGATCGGCAATGAATAGAGCTCTTTTCGTGTTGGAAATGTTTATGGGCTATGGTTTCTCTAGACATCACAGGTCTTGGGAGAGTTATGTGAACATTGTACAAGAACCAGTTTTCATCACGATGCTTTTCATTAAGGAAGTTTAATTTCTAAAGTACATTTTCTCAATTTCTATACTCAGAACATTTATGTAAGTGTAACTATAACCATAAGTACTACTAAGTTATGCAGGCGTTTCACCTTTCACGCTTTAAGCATTAGCTACGGTTTTTCACCGTGTCTACGTAATTAAGTAACATTAACCCTAATTTTCGCATTAATATTCATTTCGGATAACAATGTCAACGGGTTAGAATAATCATCGTAGAACCTCGTTTAAGAAGAGAGTTTAGTTAATAGTCCACCACGCTGGCCTAATACGGTTCGGGGGAATTAATATTTTATGAAAGAGTTTCAGTATTGTCAATAATTAATAATTCATTTACACGAAGCGCTACTGGCTGCATATCCCGATACGCACCGCTCAATAGCATCATAAGATACCGGCAGTTAGATGGTAAGAGGCCTGACGGTATATGTCGGTCCATGGAATGTAGGAAGACACCTAGCGTGTGACGCAACCTGTGTGGACACTATAGCGAGAGCGGCCGAGAACCGCAAAAGGTTCATACGCCAACCTTGCTCAGTGGTACAGCTTTGTGCCTTTTGCAGTTAAAACCATAGGTTCGTGCGGGCACAGGCGAAATTTATAGCGAACGAGTTGTCGCATTACCTCGTACAAGCCTACGATGATCACTAACTAGGCTGGCAGTTATTTCCGCCAAAGAATAAGTTTAGTAATTCAGCCTTCTGGGCAAGATACCCCAGGGCACGTCCCTCAAAAAAAATATTTTTCTATTTATAAACTTTCTTACATTTTTTATGTACCTTCCTGTTATAGTGAATTTATTAGTTTGTGTCCAATAATGTATATAATATATTCTTTACTACTCATTCGAAAGGTCAATTCCCCTGAGAAGAACTCTGTAGCATTACGTTTAATTGATTATCCATAACATTATAATATTGATTTATTTATAAACACAGGTTATCTTGAAGTTGACTTGTAACAAAATAAGTATCTTATACTATAATAAGTATAGTATAACATAATACGATAAGTAGTAACTCCCGTCTACAATTCGCTCAGAACGTAGGGTTATCACATTACGTAGTACGTAGGGTTATCAAATCACGTTGTAAACTTAAGAAAACAATAAGGATTTCATCACAATACTCTCGTGCTTTAATGAAATAACCTTTTTCAAATGCAGTATTTACGTATATGTTACGCATACGCAGTTAGTTCTGAGACGGGATTTTCCTCGCATCTTCTTTTCATGAACACGGGTCATCCACTACTGGGTATAACCATTCCTTTATGGGATACTTTTATTTCTAAATGGTTTCTGTACGTACAATACTTTCAGCTTACACCGTGTAATATCATTAGTTTCTACGGGTTCTTTGTAAAAAGACAATCGTATTGTTACAATTACAAATGGACTATTAGAACATGGAAAGTCAAACACAACGGATCATTACAAGAAAATTTTAAGTGTGATGTTTTGAAAATGCGATTGAAATGGCATACAAGGTTCATGTAACGCAATTATTAACAACTAGCTAGTGCCTCGGACTTCTTCTGCGTAGATTTTTTTTATTTATTTTTATAATACCAAGTGGCGAAACAAACAAGTCGTGCGCCTGGTGGTAAACCACACGCCTGTCCATAACAGCTGCATTATCGCTCCGAACCTTAAATCGTAAAGATCTTAGAGGCACTGTCACTGCGTCCGTCACCTTGAGACATAAGCTGACAAGTCCCATGTGTAATTTCACCAGCACCCTTAATTTCAAGACCGGAACGCAATAATTACTGATTGGCGGAAGAAACAGGTTAGGTGGCAGTACTTCCCTGGACGTACTCTTTCACAAGAAGCATAACTGCTACTTTTTACCAGCACCCTTAAATAAAGAATAAATACTTCGAATAGGCTACTGTACTGTAGTACTTTTCAAAGTTTTATTGGTTCTCCATACAAACTTTCATCCCCTATTTCACCCCTTTTAGATTTTTCTTGTAAAGTAACCTATGTCTTTCTAATAGTTCCCATCTATCTCCGTATCAAAATTCATGACAAATTGGTTCAGCGGTTTAGGCGTAAAAACGTAACAGACAGACTTACTTTCACATTTATAATGTTTGTTTGGATGTTATACAATTTTTTCGAATGGCCTAAGACCATCTTAAATAAACAAAGGATAAATATTAGCACTTTTATGGATCTATTAATAATTTTAACACAAATTTTGTTTCCTTATACCTCACTCAAACAATTGATCCTTTTTTGATGTTACGTCAAGTACAATTTGAGATCAATCAAGATTATGTTTTCCTTTTCCCTGTATTGCTTATTTATAGCATCCTGGAATTCCTCTTCCAGGAAACACTTTGTAATAAATAAAAATATTAAGGCGCCTGACGATATAAACTTTTAGGGGAATGGAAAATGCGCGGTAAACTTGAGAGTGTGTAGGTATTTCATATTACAATTACAATTAGGCTGTTGTATCCCAATGCTGGACAAAGGCCTCCCCCAGATCCTTCCACATATTCCGATCTTTTTTTTTACGTCAGGAAATCCTCATGGATACCCTCCGCCCGGGGGAGACGAAGGGTTATGTCGGACTCCTACCGACTAAAACCTGACGGTGTTCCCTCTCCTCACCATGTACCGGAGTCACGGGGGCGCTTTCGCATTCTTCCGCGACCCCGGCGGTGAGCGGTTTGATAGGTAGTCGAACCCCGTCTCACATATCCGGAGCTAACTGGACCCAAGCTTTATTATAAGCGTCCAGTTCGTCACACCAACGCTTCCTCTGTCAGCCTTTCGCTTATATTTCGTATATTTAATTATTTCGTAAGATCTGCTGGCTCGATTCGTAGCTCAGTTGGTAAAAGTAGCCGTAGCGGTAGCCATCTTGAGGCAACAGACACTGCTTTGAGTCCCGTTGGATCGAGGCAATTTTTCTTTGTGTTTGTTCGATACTTGTATTTTTTTCTATGATACTAAGTGACAGGACATACAAGTGCGCTAGGTGGCAAGCGACACGCCTGTCTATCTTTGTAGTGACACTTGGGGGTTTATTTTGTTTTTCTTACATACAATACACTTTGTAACACAGAGACATTGACTTACAATTATATAAGTAAGTCAATGCACAGAGATTATCAGAATTAAATATATGAAATATGTACGCTCTCTCAAGTTTATAAGGTGTAGTCACGTGACTCATTTCAACTACTATTTTGCACGACCGCGCAGCCGCGGTTGCCAGTCATGAAATAATTTTCGATCCCATTTATTAACATAACATTTTTTCCTAAACGTTTAATTTAATTGTTGTAAGTTTACCGTTACAAATACCTATAAAGATGCCTGCCAAAAATATATCCATTTTGTAATATTAGTAAGGGATAATTTTAACGTTACGTAAGCAGATTAAATTAGGTTGCTCCATAATCGTGACTTTGGCATTCCTTCGAGGTAATAATAATAATTAGAAACACTTTATTTGTGATTTTAAGTTTATTGAATGTTTGTTTTTTAGTAGCAGTAGAGCTCCTTGTGAAAGAGTTCGTCCAGGGAAGCACTGCCACCTTACCTATTTCTGCCGCCAAGCAGTAATGCTCACATTACTGCGTTCCGGCTTAGAAGGGTAAGGGTGCTGGTGAAATTACAGGCACAATGGACTTTTCAACTTATGTCTCAGGGCATAGGCATGTCGCTTACCACCAAGCGCACGACTTGTTCGTCCCGCCGCTTGGCATCATAAAAAAAGTTTTAGTACCGTTTTTTTGTGATATTTCTCCACTAGTTAGTTATATATAAGTTATAATTTATTAATACAAAGATCCGAACATTTCGAAAAATTCCTATCGATCCGGCTGGATTCGAACTAGCGCTTTCAGCATATCGTGACGGTCTCCCAAGAGAGATCTTTGTTTTTGGTTTTAACGACTTTTTACCGTAGCGCCATCTGTGACAAATTCATGAAAGTTTTTCGTCAGTGTTTTTATTGAAAAATTTGTTTTAGTGTTCGAGGTAATAGTTAATTGCAATGCTAGCGTGCATTATTAGAATTTAGAGCAACGACAGGGATATCGTAACCATGTATTAAGGAAATATATGAGGTCATTGGAGCGTATAAATAAATAGAATTTTGAATAAGGTACGTGTTACAAAGTGGAGGAATCGAGAATATGGTGAATGGAGATCTGCCCGTTTATCTTTGGAGAATGAGCGGTGGTACAAGCACGATACAAGTGAGTGTCTATTGGGAAATAACCTTTCTTCCCGGTACCGGAGATTACAAAGATGTTCGAGATTGTTCCGCTGTACAATATGAGTTTTACTCCAATGATTTTCCGAAGGTGTTCTTTTTGTTTTGAATATTTTTAAACGTTTGTTCGAACAAAGTAATAAACAATATATTTATAAATAATATTAATAAACTTTTTTAAACAGAAGAGTTATATTTCATTGTAAGGCCCTGGCTCC